CCCCATTAACGCGCTCCCCAATTTCTCCTCGATGACCCCTCTAGTGTTATTTATAATCTCTATGACTGCTCATCCGTCCAAAAAGGGGGCTCCAAGATGGCGGCTAATGATGAACTCAGTGGCGTCGCCAGGTCGATAAGTGGGGTGGACATATTCATATATTCATGTTCACAGACCGTTAAAAACAATCAATTTGAAAAGAAATGAACAATGTAAAACACGAATATATGAATAAGCCCCCCCCCCTCCCCCCCTTATCAAGCTGGCGATGCCACTGGATGAACTTTATACATTTAGGCCAGTTTCAAATTAACTTTTCACGACAATAATAATAATAGAGCGAGTAGAATCACGTGCACGCACGAGAGCGCCACGTGAACCAAAACATTCAAAACAACAGCAATCCGGATTGCCTATGCTATGACCTACCTGGTCGTCCTACAAAAAGTGAAAATTGACTTATATTTATCGTTCCGTTTATTTACAGGTCACGTGGTCTCCCGCGATAAACACCGCCACTCACTTTGCAACACAAGCTGTGCAAGATGATCAGCCTGTGGTGCTTCCAGTCGGAAGCACCTGGCTACGAATCGATCACCTCCGACAGAATACGGAATACACGTTCGAAGTGCAAGCATGGACATCTATTGGCAAAGGTGCTTCACATGTTGAAGTTTCGAGAACCAAAAAATGTAAGTCAAAATTGAACTGAAGTTAAGGCCCTGTTACACGATGCAATTTTTTTCGCAACTTACAATGCAGTTCTACTTTTAAGAGATGTATATTTGGGAACAACGAAACTTTTGTGTTTATTACACTTCATGCACTTTCCTTCTGTAAGACTCTTCAATAATTTACATCTCTTAGAAGTAGAATTGCATTGCAAGTTGCAAGAAAATTGCATTGTGTAACATGGCCTCGTCAAACTCGGCCTTTTGCTAACGCCAAAGTTTTATGTCTTTTTTATTCTTCAGATCCTCACGGTAGTCAGTCGATTACCATTTTGTTTGAAGACAAATACAAAGTGGAAGACCTTAGCAAGAAGAAAACGTTTAAAAAGGAATTTATTGAGGCTGTTAGAAAAACTGCCGATATTAAAAAGTAGGTTTTTTAGTAGGTGTTAATTAAGGGGGATTTCGTTTTAGGCCAATCAGCGAGTTTGTTTACATTTTCAGTTACGTATTTTACGTTTTCAGTTACATAGTCAGCGAGTTTGCTTATATTTTCAGTATTTAATGCATAAATTTTTACCACTTCCGGTAAAAAGAAAGTACATTATTTACCATTTTATATGAAGTATTAAAAATTTAGGATTTTTAATTGGCTTTCCCTGAGAAATGTAAACAAATATGTCGATTAGTTTAAAACGAAATTCCTCCTTGTTAGCGCGGTTTTAACCATTGACAAAAAATGGTCATGATTTGTTTCTTAAATTTAGAGAACGTATCGCGGATGTACGTTTGAAACCAGAGAATAATGGCGTCGTCTTTGAATTGATAACCAAGGAAGAATTAACCAGTAAGTTCCTGCGAGCTTCAAATTTTTGGTTTCCCATTCAGGCGAAAAATTCCGTTGTCTTGAAGAATTCCTCCTGGGGGAAACCACCTTCAAAAAACTGAATTTTTAAAGAGATATGGCAATAAAAATTATTTCGGTTTTTTGTTAAAAAGGAAATTTACACTTCTTTTAGAGCCTTTTTACAAAATTTGTTTATCTTCCTTGTTTCGCAAGATATTGGCGATCAAAAACATCGGATATCGAGATATATCCGCCATCTTGTTTTATAATGAGATCTAATTACTTGACATCAAAAGCAGGATAGACGCTTTAAAATAACAACTGAGTTTTCTTTCGAGCCTTAGTGCACGTCAATTCCTCATGTTACTTCACGTAACTTCACTGATCTCTACATGAACGAAACATTTTCTTCGGTTTAGATGAACCAGACGATATAATCTTCGCAGAGTTGGATGAAGTGAAGAAGAAACTCCAGAGTAGTTTTAAAGTGGGAGATGCCAAGACGAAAAACAACGGACTGATGTATGTTATATGGAATGACGCTTGCTTGTTCACACCCTCTCCCCCACCCAATGGCGTGCCCCGCCCTCGTTCGAGAATAGGGCAAGGGAGAGTCAATTATCTCGACAGGGGAATGTGTTCATTTGTTTATCGATGGGTCTTATTTAATTTTGAATCCCTCAAGCGCTAACGCTTTTCTGCTGAAACTTACCACAGCATTATGGTTACTGCTTTTACCGTTAAGCCTGCCATCCGGTATAAAAGGTTTCCCCACTCTCCAAATATGTGCCCATGCCCCCTTTTTATGTCTTTTATGTCTCCCCGTCACGAAGAGTTGCATTGAGTAAATCTGTATTTTTGTAGATCTGGCAAAGTTCATATGTCGGCCAGTACGGGCACTCAAGCAGCATCCTCGAGCAAAGCTCTGATTGTGGGCCTGGTGTGTGCCGCTGTCAGTAAGTATCGCTCCCGCAGATTTTCCCCGCCTCATTCGGTTTGGAATTGTCTTAAAAAATGGGGAGAAAAAGTGTTTATAGTTTACGTCAGGGGGCTTATTTAACAAGGAGGAGTTTCGTTTGGAACTAATCGGCAAATTTGTTTACATTTTCCAAGCTAAGCCAATCAGAATGCCTACGTTTTTTATAATACTTCATGTAAGATAGTATGAATAATATACCTTTTTACCGGAAGTGGTGAATATTTATGCATTCTGATTGGGTTACTAAAAATGTAAATGTAAATAAACAAATTCGCTGATTGGTTTAAAACTAAATTTCTTCATGCTAGGTTTATTCCATTTAAGAAGAGCTAATGTTTGTGGAATATTTTCATTTAATCTCTTGCATTTTCTCCTTTTTAGTTCTTGCTCTGATAGTGATAATTGCAATGATGTTCTACCGTTATCGTCGCAAAAGTATGTACAATAAATTCGACAACAATTTTCAGTACAGCCATGAGGACGATTCGGTCCGCTATCAAGGCTCACCGGAAGGTAAGTGTGCGCCATGGTTCGTTTAACTACTAGAAACCCCGTTTGAAATCGTTCTTCGGTTGTAAACCATAATTTATTATGAGTTTTTGGCTGCCAAACTACAAATTTTAACGGGTAATTTACCAAACGTCTTAAAAATCATTATGTGCATGCCATGCTTTCGAAAACTACATACAAAAACAGTTTGGATGGTGGATAGGCGGGAATTTATTTCATGCCACAAGTTCAAACTGTTGGTTCCGAAGTTTGCGTTAAATTCTGAGTCCATTGGTTGAATGTTGTTCCGGCGGCGGTTCAAGATGACCGCTTAAATTTTCTACCCTTTTAAAAACGTAATTGTTTTTGAATGTATATTTATCAAAATATACTTTGGTCGTACTTGAAAACTGTATCTCACCTAAATTATTCAATATTCATGAAGAACTACAAACATTTTGCTTTTAAAATCGTCATGAAGAATTCTTTCTGATCGATTAAATATGGCGATTCTTAAAAATCTTGTATTCTGAAATATTTGATTAAAATTTTAAAATGCCCGCAGTTGGTCTTTGGAAAACAACGTGAATACCCCCTCCCCCTACAACCCTGCATTTTCGCCCCCACCCCTCTCACCCATGGGTCAAATAAAAAAATGTGACTTCTTTTTATGAACAGTTGAAGTGGCACCAGTAGGACAGAAACGTCGCCACAAGAACATTGAACAAATTCCTTTGGCTGACGCTGATGAACTAACCTAATTCCCTTTAATTGTTTTGATAAGATTGTAAATTTCGTGCAATAATTAATCACATCTGTGATCTGTCTTATTAATAAATTAGTAATGTTTTCCTATTTTTTTTGCCTTGCGAAAGTTTAAGTGCTCTGGGCGAGTTTATCTCTTAGACCAAGCAAGGTACCACAAACCGGTTTAAGGTCTATTCTTAGCATTTCATGAAGCAAAATTTGGCTTTGCTACAGGCTATAATTACGATAATTATGTTTCAAATCTTGGTTTTGACAAAACTCGCCCAGAACACTGCAATTTTCCATTGCTTTCTACAAGCGAGCGGTAATATGATCCCTCGAGTGTGTAATTTTGTGTGTGTTAAGTAATCAAGTGGTCAGTCAGTGGCGCTTTAGTTGTTGATAATCTTTCGCAAAATCAAGCTGTGCCACGTATATTTGAAACTTGAAAGTATTATAGGTGTACAAATACAATTTTTCGTAACAGTATAACATCGTGTCAGCCATGTCATTTTACTGGGACTGGGACTTGTAGAATAGTGCGCATGTTAAAAATTTCCGGGAGGAGGAACCGCAAGTTAATCGACGTGGGGCCTTTCACCGGGGGGAAATAATTATTTGTGTTTCTAGAAGTCAGGCAATATTATACGAAGTTTGAAATCTAGTTGAAGTTTTTGGACAGGTGAGAAGCTTCATAAAAAAGTTTTCTTATTATGATCTGAACTTTTGCTATAGGAAAAATATTATAGGAAAGATATTATCGAGGTAACCGGTGGCCGGTTTTAAGAAAGCTGGATAGCGACAGCGGGTATTGTTTTTCTCAACGCCCGAAAATTGCCAGGCTATTTGATATAACATGGATTAAACTTTGGGGTTACTTTCTCAGATATTTGAATAACGGTTGTAAAAATCATCGTTCTATTTGTTGGATGGCGCTATACAACTGGCCTTAGACTGAGTACACTCAATTTATTGGCACGGCACGGCTGAAATTGTTACCCGTGCCCAATTTTATGAGTGTTCAGTCTACCAAAACAAAAGCCGAGGTCAAATGACATAGGCACGGGCACCCATTTTAGCTGTGCCGTTCCAATAAATTTGGGTGTAGTGTAAATGGGGCTTTAATTGTGCTTTAATTAAAGGGAGTTTTTGAGGGTACCTTGTGAGCTATCATGCTCATTAACACATGCGCGCTCAGGCTGCGAGGGGTCAAAGGTCACTAGTAGAGTAATGATACCGCTGTCTAGTTATACGATGGTCGCTCGTTCCACGTGAACTTTAAATCTAAAAGTTTTTCAGATCGAAGAGAAACACTCGACAAATTAAGCATTTTTCAAGACGATATAGCCTAACATTGTCGACTTATCCAGGTAAGTCAAACATCTCACATCATATATCACCTACACGGAGATCGAACGGCCGAATTTGTTTCTATACGCGAGATTATGTCGGCATCTTGAACTCTGGACTTGAATGTTATGTAAGCTGAATTTATATTGGACATATCGCGAGATTTTAGCGATAATTGTTGTGTCGCGAAAAGATCAAAAAGCTTTTGTAGCTAGTTCTTCATGCGTGGTATACTTTGCGATGGATTTTCGATGCATATTTTTTAAAACGTTTGTTCATGCGATGGTTTTAAAAAATATCGCGTAATCGTGCCTCGGTATTACGCAACAAAAGGGGGATGTTCAGAGGTCGGGTCGGTTGTAAAACGTTGTCGAATTTTTTAATCTTTTTGCAAACATTTTGACACGCGTTCATCCCTGTCTAAGTCCGCAAGCGAAGCCAATCTATTCACAAAAGCTTCATGAAATTTTAAGCTGGAAAAACGAACGGAAAACAATGAAATATTAATTTTAGTTTGCCAGCCAATTTGGGGTCAGATTATTTTGTCAAAAATTCCTGCGTAAAATTATGAAATATAATCATCAATGAGATATAAAACGATTAGAACTTTCGTCGTTGATTTGTGAAGTGGCAAAGTGCCTTGCCAAATCTTCAAAGCAATGCATTATGCTAAACGTGTTATATTTTGAAATAGCAGTGATTTAATAATTAGCTATAAGTTGATAATATGTTGTACATAAGGTAATTGGTTGTATTTCTGTCTTGTCTGTGACCAGTGGCACGCTCCGTAGGGCTATTTTGCAAGGGATTGTTTTAAAATGTTGTTTGTTTGTCTCCCTGAAAGGCTGGTCATGCATTTAAAGTGGTATAAAGGGGGAATTAAGTGAGCTTCACACAAAAGGAAATCATTATGGCCATTAATAATTATGCATGCATCTCAAGTCTGTGGTTGAGTTGGATGAGTGTTCTAGCTGTCCATACTAGAATGTACAACCTTTGAGACACCAGACTTTTTGAAATGCAAAAGGGCTGTGCGATTTCACAATTCACATGCAAGTTCGTGGGATTTTTAGTGACAGAAAGTTTCTGTGATTTGTTTACGGCAATTAAAGTGCTTCAAGATTAAATGTCTTCAACAGTAATTTCATTTTGTTTTGATAGTGCTTAAGATAGCTTTGGCCCTTGGGGGGAGGTCAAGCTAATTTCTTGATAATATTATTGATCTCCAAAATTCCTTTTATTTGCGGGGAATCTGATGGGGAATTAGCTAGATTTGCACATGGGAATGACATTTATGTCAAGCTATTGAAATTTATTATATGGCATTAAAAAGGCTGATGCTGTGAGTATTAATTGCAACCATTACCTTGGCAGCTATGCAGAGCAGATATTCTCAATTTAATCACTAGTAATTGAGTTAGCAGATTACCCAGTCATTACCCTTTAGACAATGTACAAGACTGGTCGATTGGTCAATGATGAATGAAGTTGTTTCATTAAGCATCAAAATTTGCCTGTTTTTTAAAGCAATTTAATTAGTTGTTGAAGACAAAGTTGTCATAATTAATCAATCGATAAATGTTACTCGATCTTAACTCAGAATAAACTGAAAAATATGAGAAATTAAATTGTTAAATTCTTTCTTTAGCCTATCTTACTAATTTACTCAGTCTAATACAAGAAGATTTTACTCAGTGGAAGTGTATTGCCAGTCAATGAGTTATTAAACTATCTGCAAAAATTTTGGCTTTTGCATGCAAGAAGCTAAGTCAGATGTACGCAACCTTAAAATTTAGTCATTAATAGAGGAGCACTGCCAATTAATGAGTTAGTTTTTGTTTATCAGATTCTGAAAGGTAGCATGCCTGCAGTTGTGTCAGACTTAGATACAGTTCCAACCAAGGTTGAGAGTGAAAAGCCACAAGACAAACCTGTTGCAAAATGCCCTTTTGACCACAGCAAGCCTGCAGAAGATGTCACCAAAGAGATTGGGGTAGAGGCCAATGGAAATGAAAAAAATGGTTAGTTCGGGTGCTCCACCATGTTTTTGTTTGGGTGAGGGGGGTCATTAAAGTAATTAGGATCAATGTTAAAAAAATAAGGTATAATAAGAAACATACAAAACCCTGTTGACCCAATCTTGTTCCCCAAGCCTCCTCTGGCGAGAAAATCAAAAGCTATGGGATGATCCAAACCAGAAGCCAGAAATCCTAATGGCTTTTTGATCTCGAAATTGAAACAGCGTGAATGACCAATCAGAATCATTTCTGATTTTGATTATCCTAGAGCCTTTGTTTTCTTGCCAGAGGAATCGCAGGCTTGGGGAATGAGATTAGTGTTGACCGTACATCTAGGCAGTGATCTCTATAGTTCAACTGGAGTGAAAACTTGAATCCAGTGACAGTGTCTGAGTTTTCATCAGAAATACTAAAAGCTAATTCCATGCATCTAGAGCAGTGAACTCTGTAGTAAAACTGGAGTGATAATATCAGGGGAGGTTTGAAGCAAGACTGGCAGTTTTCAGTAGAAATACATAAAGCTTAACTATCAAAAACTCAATTTGGTACAAAAAATTCCAAGACTTCAGCAATTCCCCCAGTTGCAAATTGGTTTTATTTATTCTGGTGGACCAAAGCATCCTCTGTTGTTTACAGGTGAGGATGTGAAAGCAGAAAAGAAGGAAGATGGGAAGTCTTCGGAGCAAGAAATCCCTCCTCTGTATTTCATGAATCTAAAACTCACCGTTCCTGGTTGTAATGAAACAATAACCATTCAGGTACAAGCCTCTTGATTTCACTGAACAGTGTTTCTCAATTCTAAACATGAACATCTGTAAAGTGTTTCTGAGATCGCCTGCAACCACGGCGGGTTATGGCACATAATCCTATATTCACGTTCAGGATTATTAGTTCCTTTTGAAATTGATTGTTTTTACGGCCTGCTAACATGAATATATGAATATTTGCCCGCCCTCCCTCCCTCCCTCCCTCCACTTAACGGTCTTCAGCCGTCCGTAACCAGAGCCTCAGATACAAGACACCAAGCTCCCAACTGCACTTCAATAAAATAACTATAATTTGATTTTCTCACATCCACCTCTAAAACTTCAATTTGTACCAATATTTGCACCCCATGGTCTAGGCTAGCGTTGGCCACTAGGACGAGGGGGTGCACCCCCCTAAACCCACCCTCCAATTTTCGTTGCAGATATCTTCGCACGAGACCGTTCAAGATATACGACAGGTCGTGTTGGATCGTCAAGAAAGTTGCTTCAGAACGTGTGTTTCGCTTTATTTCGACGGCAAACGACTTGATGACTTCGCCGAGCTCCACACGATAGAAGGGCTGAAGGATGAATCCGTCATCAAAGTTGTTGAAGGTTTGTTGAGTTCTTTTCTTCTTTACCGCTGCAGTGCAAAGAGGTTTTCTAGCGTTCTAAGCAGTCCACTTGTCTTCTCTTTATTTAAGAGCAATATTCGGTTCGAGAAGCCCGTATTCACGTGCGAAGATTGCGAGATTTGCTGAGCACGTCTTTTGAGAGTAACGCTCTCAGCGCCGCCGATAATCTCTCACTTTCGTTTTCTGTGGCGGTCTCTGGAGTCGAGGTTGAGGGTAAGTCTGGTTTTCGATCAAGCGTATTTCATCCCTGTTTTAGGTTCACGCAGAGAGCTCGTGCGTTTTATCAATATTTCTCGTGAAATCACCGGACTTGTAAAATGGACCACTTCACATCCACAATGAATCTTAGCTTTCGAACAGTGAAAGTTTGAGGTGATTCTCCCCCCTCTCCCCAAACCTCCCTTCATAATCCCTTCCCCTATCAACGTCACTTCTCAACCTTCAACTTGCTTTCACAATCATACATTTAACCCTCACGCCTACATCGAGCCCCTCTCTATCTCACCTTACCCCCCCCCCTGCTACATCCATAGACCCCATCCCAACAATAAACCCCACCTCCTGAATACCCGCTATCAAGCACCATGTTCATACATAATTTCTTTGATATTTCAGAGGAATTGGTAAAGGTGAAAAGAGATACCACTAACACCGTACCAACAGAAGAATGTACTCCCCCAGATTATGTCTTCCCATCAGAAGAACAACCTCTCACCTTGGAAGCTTTGTTTCCTAAATCTGTCGCCCCCAAGGTAAATGTGTTCGGCACTCTTACACCAAGAAGCCCCGGGGGAGAGGGGGGGGGGGGGAGTGGTGGTTAGCTAAAACAGCAACAAATTTGACATGCCTCTGATGTTGTCAGAGTTGTGTATACTACCTTTTTATTTTATAATAGATAGAAAAGTCTGTGAAAACACTTTTGTCTTTAGAATAAAAATGTGTGTATATTTTTATCACAACAACATTGTAACAGTCTTGTTGAGTTTGAAATGCATATAATGATTATAAACATCTTCGTGCGCTTAATTACAATAGAAAATACAAGAGTTGGTACTCAGTGTGGCTAATATAAGAATTATCGCGTCATTACAGTATTGCAGAGAGATTTGTGCACTGTATATAGATGGACATCTGAGCCATTATCGCCATTGCTATGAAAATAAGCACCGATGCTCTGTCTAGAGTGTCGCATGTTATCGCATTATAACTCGGTTCCTCCACTATCCAGGTTCCTGCGTGTGTGAAAGAGTTATCATTGAGCAGCTGGAATCCCACGCCTGGCTACCGAAGATTAGCTGGTAGGAAATCAAATATCCTTTTAGAGAACAGTTTTTTGCATCGCACAAATTTAATCAGAAGGATTATGCTGTAAATAGCAGCATGAAATTGATACCCTAGAGACACTTTACGATTGTACTTGAGTGCTCACAGTGTTGACAATGATACGGCCTTAAAACTGGTCGGGCTACGTCATTTCTTGTTTCATCACAGATTACATTGCCCTTAGCTTGTCCATTGTGCGAACGTGTCAATCTGTCCACAATCTGTCTACAATTAATTCGTATGTTCTTCTTTAGGTGATTTGCTATATATTGATGTGATAACTCTCGAAGATGATCACGTGAACGTGACGTCGTGTCCAGCAGGCTTCTACATAAACAGGTACGTGCACGTGCATTGCACGCAGCCCATCGTATTATTCCAAATCCACGTGTAAAGACACGTGTAAAACAACACCAACCTGGTTCCCAGGGCCTGGGAACGAACGAGGTTGGAATCAATACGTGATTCTGCATAAGGTCTATTAGCCATTCAATTTTGATTCAATTCACTTTTGACCAATTGAAATTAGTTTATGAAGGTATTGATATTGATACTGATATGATGAAGGTATTGATATTGATAAAGCAGAACTGTATCAGCTTTTATAACACTTGATTTGCTGTCCATATCCAATTCAAGTCAACAGACTGTAGAACAGCCATCAGAAAGGAATTGAATCTGACAAAATTGGATCATGTGAATAAACTTTTACAGCGATTTGGGGGGAAAATTCCGTTAGATACCGCTTTATAAAACCGACCTCTGTATTGTACTTTATCTGGTTTCAAGCCTGACTGGCTATATATATCAACTACAAAATAAACTAGTGATGCATGATTTGAAAAATTTCAGAAGTCAAAATGGTGTGTTTAACCCTCAACCACGAGCGGAGAGTTGTCGGTCGCATACCTTGGTCGGACTCCTCTCCCAGGTATGATATCACATAGATACAATATTCCCCTTGAGAAGCTTGTCAATATTATCTTTAACAACAAGAAGTTTTTTCGGTGCATTTTGTATTTCGTAAAGCACTCTCATTGATTTCCTTTCTCCTTGTTTTTAGCTAAGTCCACTTTTCAAGAAGAACTTTGCATTGTTGCAAAAAACTAGGTAGCTACGTGTTAATTTCTGAGTTAACTAGGATTTAACTATGCGAAGTGTAGTTAAATAGTTTTATACAACCAGCCCCAGGACTCTTACCTCTGTTTTCTGGGTTTTGGGCTCAGAATGAGGTCGCTTGTTATAGGATTCAGACATCTTTTTTCCGTCTCCCTTGAACAGTATTTTTCTATTTCCTTTTATACTGTAGTATGAGACGACATCCTCTCGAAGTAATTCCAACGCCATATCAAGGTACGTGACGTGGGGCCGGTTGTATCAAGCCCATTTATGTAGCTTAAACGGTGGATAAGTTCAAAATAAGAAGCAAGTCTCTCGTTTTATTCAACAGCGAACTAAATGTTTTTGACCTTAATGCAAAGATACTGTTTACAACTACATATTCAGTGGCATAATTTTCAAGTTGACTCATTCAAGAGAGATGTAAAAGTGTTATTTAATTTTGAATTATCCACCATTTAGGCTAAACGGGCTTGATACAACCAGCCCCTGTTGAGTACAGAGCCTGTTTGATATACAATAGCAGACCGCGATGCAATAGGAACGGCTCCTTCAATAACAGTGCATGTTAAATCATTGAAATTCATTGGTGTTTATATAAAAAGGAGCAGAAGATAAATGGAAGTTGAATTGATTTTTATTATGTCTATCTTTCGCTACAGTGTTTTCTTGGGCTATTCCAAAACTTGACCACACACAAGACAGAATGAGAGCCGAAGATTGTAAGTAGCTATAATGATTCCATGCATGCTTTCCTAAATGTTACCTGTAATAATTCATGCTCCGTTTTCGAGACTTAAATTTGATTTAACTTGTAGCATCATACGTGAGAATTGGCCACGAAGAACATATGCCAGGACAGGTTTGTAATTCTCACTAACTAATACCGTATTCACCCCATCTGTACCACATTCACCCCGTTTGTACCGTATTCTCCCCGTTTGTACCGTGTTCACCCCGTTTGTACCGTATTCACCCCGTTTGTACCGTGTTCACCCCGTTTGTACCGTGTTCACCCCGTCTGTACCGTGCTCACCCCGTTTGTACCGTATTCGCCTCATTTGTACCGTGTTCGGTTACCAGTTAACGATTACCCTAACTCGAAAGAATTAACAGTGAGGGAATGTTCTGTGTGTTATTTGAATTATGCCATTAATTAGCCTTTCTCGCGATGACAAATGTGCCGCCATTATTGACTATGAAAAAATCCTTCTTACACATTGCTATTATTGTTTAAACGCATTTGAAAAAATTGAAAGTACCCAAAAATGGCGGTTAATCGTCATCGTGAGAGGCGTTTGAAGGCTAATTGCGTTTTCTTTCTGTTACTTTTCTATAGTTGAGGGATTGGAACGAAGAGCTGCAATCCGCGCGAGAATTACCACGAGAGACGTTGCAGCAACGGCTTCTTAGAGACAGAGCAATATTCAAGGTAGCTACAACTGTTTGCAAGTTTTCCTCTTGCATGGAGACTTTTGCCACACGTTGTATTGATCAAGAGTAAGAATTTCTAGCTATTTCTAGCCGTTGTGATGTAAGAAAAGTGTTCTTGGAAGGGAAAATAGTGCTCTTGCCTTCTTTATAAAAATATTAGATCTTCCAATGTCCGTTCTGTTTTCTTCAACGCTCTGTATATCTGTTTGTTTAGATCACAAGCGATTTTGTAATGGCCGCCACACGGGGTGCAATGTCCGTTGTTGACGGGAACGTTCTTTCAATAAATCCGGGCGATGATGAAAAGTGAGTTTTGCCTGTGATGCAACTTTTGAGTCACATAAAAGCAGTGGCGTAACTAGAACGATAATTGGGGGGGGGGGTGAATATTCATATATCCAGTTCTGCCCTACGGATTTCTTTTGTAATTGCAATAGCTTACAATAGAAATCCGTCGGGCAGAACTGAATATATGAATATTCACCCCCCCCCCCAATTATCGTTCTAGTTACGCCTCTGCATAAAAGTGTAATCTCACCAGTATATTTTGAAAAAACTGCTAGTGTATTTACACCGCCAAGTCACCGTTTCACCTATAAATTGTTTTGTATATTGCTCACTGCAGATCTCGGATGTATATTTGGAACAACATTTTCTTCAGTCTGGCATTTGATAGCAGAGACCATTTTAAGAATGTTGGTGGTAAGTTAGATTATTATATTATAATACGTCCTCGTGTTTCGCCACCTTTCGTCCTCATGATACTTCATGTACTTTCGTATATGGCTATATATGTTATCAAAGTCGAAATTCGTTGTTCAAAATTTGTATCTGTTAATTTTTTTAGGTGACGAGGCTGCCTATGCCGCCGCCGTAAGTATTCTAAAGAATTTTGTCGAAGTTGGATTGACTGAAATTTAATATTGTAAGTTTCCATGTGCGGTTTCATGACGGATTACCTGTCGTATCTTTTCCCAGGGTGCCGATTTAAAAGGTGTTTCGTCGTATAACAGAGTTGATATCGAGGTAAGAATGAGTAATGGTTTGTGGTGTCGAGGGACGAGTTATAGAAGCCATTTTACACTACAAAATGTGATCAACATATACTGTAGGTATACACTGTAGGTATTATTAATGATATCTGTGGTTTCTTAGGGTCTTTATACGTTAGGAACGGTTGTGATAGACTATCGTGGTTATCGTGTGATTGCTCAATCCATAATCCCAGGTATAACGTGTGCAATGCATGTCGTTTTATATCTAACAAATAGGTACATATAGTGGGCTGTCGATGGACCCTGAACAAGGAGGAATTTTGTTTTTAACTTATCGGCAAATTTGTTTACATTTTTCAGGCTAAGCCAATCAGAATGCATAAGTTTTTAATACTTCATGTAAAATGGTGAATAATGTACCTTTTACCGAAAGTAATCCGAAAGTAAAATTTATGCATTCTGATTGGGTCGCTGAAAATATTGCTGGAAATTGGTCTAAAACGAAAGGTTGGATATACCAGACTCAATATTTTTGTGTCTTGTTTAAGGTATTTTACAACGGGATCAGGAGAACTCCGTGATCTACGGTTCCATAGACGCCGGGAAGACTGTCACCTCGAATCCAGAATTTCTAAAATTGGTAGGGGTTTGCTTAACCATTGTGCATGGTAGAAAATAGCACATCACAAGCAATCTTTATGCCTTTTATTATGGCCATTATGTGAGTCATTGTGGGGATAAACACGATGTTGCAGTTGAAACATTTTGTGTGTTTTTTAGCTTGGAAAGGCAGCTAGAGTCCTAAGACTGCGATCACAGCAGTAAGTGACAATCGTGGAAATTATAAATTGTTTCCCGTGCCGTATTGTGTTCCTTGAAGCATGCAAGCATTGCAAATGAACCACGTTTTACGATGCTGCTTCCAACCTAAATTTCAAATGATATTCAGTAATGTAATGGCACTGTGCTGTGTTACTTGTGTGAACCTGCTAAACGTGCCTGTCCACAGCTCTGCCTGCTTTTAATCAGAACGAAATGTTTTCTGCTTTAAGGGTTCTAAACGAAAATGACGAAGAAACGGAATTACTTTCTTCCGTCGAATGCAAGGTTTGAGAGCATGAGAGTGTATATTCACCTAGACAGGTGAACTTTATTACATTAATTAAGTAAATGTCCACGTGTTTGAGTCTGTAGCCGAAAGGTTGTAAATAAAACTAAAACTATTGGAAACTTATTTGGTGTAGAAAGTTTTAAATTAATTTTAGATATTTATCTTTTTCTAAGTCTTGAAACTTCCACACCGAATAGAAATGTTCAATAGCTTTAGTTACTGTAGATTTATACAAATCCCATCGTCCTGGGTGAGGTATCTCCGCTTATAACATAGAAAAAACTATTTAGGCTTCAGGCCAAGTCAAAGACATGCTTTTCACTTATTATCGTTTCACGTTCCAGTTGTATTAGAGATCTCCGACGGTGAGACTGATAATAACTTAATTTGTTTAGGGTATACTTGGTGCAGATGGTCGCCATTATATCCTGGATCTTTTCCGAACTTTCCCAACAGATGTCAATTTCCTTGAAGGTTTGTATAAACACTTCCCGAAATTGCTTTAAGGGTTCAGAAAACAATCGTTTAAAACGATGGGAGCGTTGTAGATTCATGATTCCGTTATAAACCAATCAGCAAAGTTGTTTACATTGTTCAGGCTAAGCCAATCATAATTTTTAGTACTTCATGTAAAATGTTGAATAATGTACCATTTTACCGGAAGTAGTTAATATGCATGCATTCTTATTGGGTTACTGAAAATGTAAACAAATTTGCTGATTGGTCTAAAACGGAATTCCTCGTTACTTTTCTTAACGCAAATGCATTGCTCAAAAGTGTTTTCATGTTTTGAAACCCAGGAGTTGGATCCTCATTGACAACTAACGCGGAAGAAATATTCTCATTTCCTTCAACGTATAAGACAAAATTGGTGTCCTTGAGACCAGAATTAATCGAGTCCTTTATCGCGTAAGTATGGTTGCCAAAGCAAACATTGTTTAACATGATATATCTCAACCCGTCGTTGTCCAGTTCCGGTAGTTGAATTCTGACTAAAATAAGTTGCATATAAGTTACTTAAGAATATATATCTGAAACGTGGCAGTCTGATGGTCAGATATTGTAGTTTGATACAATGCACGTGCAACTTCAGATCAATGAATTAATTGTCCACTAAAAGAACCTCAGCCATACCTGTAACATTGTTTTTTAATCACCCAGGTCGCGTTACGTGAATTTCCTCAGACTCGTGGCTAAGAATGTGTCAATAAAGTCCAAAGTCGAGGTAAACTATTAAGGGCATAGGATGGCTGATTTAAGGATACAAAAACTGTCAACTTTTTGGATAATCGTCCAGTTTAGAAAAAGACAAATATTTGGCAGTATGCTGTAAGAATGATTCGTGTTACGTTATGTTGTGTGTTTATAAATTACCAACGAGGTAACCCTGATACAGTATAGTTACCCCCAAAACACAATAGTAGCTATGTCATCGTGTACATGTGCACTAAAGTTAGATGTATTTGCCTCCAAAGGAAAACAAAAATGTAATTAAGAAAGAAGAGACAACTGAAAATGGTGATGCAAATATTGCGACTTCATCTGAAGAAGAATCGATGGCTGTTGAACAGAATGATAAAGAGGAAGATATGAAGGGACAGCAGAACGGTGGTATGTTTTCGTTAAACCACTGATGGCTTGATCTATTATAGATTATCCTTCTTGAACCTCTTCCAAACACAGTTAAAAACTGATAGAGTTAGCCAGTGTAAATAAAGTTGATAATAACGAGTCTAATTAGACATTTTAGGGGAGGGTATTTATATATAAATAGAGATCTGAACCTCTTGTTAGATTTTACCAATTGTTATCCAATGTATATGGAATGCTGAACTTATATTAGAAGAAAATTTTTTCTCCATAGAAGAGAGAGTTTCGAGTGATGTCGTAAAAGACGCAGCAATGGCGGTGGGATCTCTTAGCGAGACAGGTGAATGTTGTAATTTGTTAGTTTAGCATATGTAATCGAGGCAGCACGCTTAAAATAATAAGGATTTCGTATTTTGGTACAAACTAAATCAACGGTTACGCTGCGTTGGGGTTGATTTCCATACGCCACGAGGCAAATCGTCGTTTGTAATAAATAAAGTCAATTTTTTACGTAGAATTTGATGTCAGATTTAATCCTGATGCGTATAACGAAGAAGTTAGACATGCAGAATGTGAGGTATAGTTGAATTTTGTGCATAAGATGTTGCTCTCCTTTGTAATGACTAACTCGAACATTTTGTCCTGTATGTCCCCCCCTCTCCAGGGGAGAGGAAAGGGGGTGGTCGGGCACAGATCATAATGTTAAGCGTGACTATTTGACCTGGGTGGGGGTACCTCGTCATCTGGTCAGGGTCATTTGGGTTTGCTGTTTTGTGAGAATAAAATGATATATTGATGGCAATGTGATTTGCTACCAGATTTGAGCAGCCTTGGTTAGAAAGTGCATATATAGCCACACTGGTTGATACAATATGTAGCTTTTTTATTTAATTTCAATAGGGTACTCGTCTGCCAAAAGATAAACAGTTAATTCAGGATACTGCAGCGTTCCTGTCTCACCCCGTCATAGCCACATTGGTGAGAAATTAGTTATTCAGAAATTTTATATCTTCGTTAGTCTGACTGAGTGTTGACTGTTGCTATATTTAATACTAGCCTGACTAGTCTAGTACTTACTGCTTTGCAATGTTGTATTCAGTGTTTCACTTTCAACCTTCCTCAATGTCAGTTGATCATTGCAGTACTGCTAGTCTGACTGAGTGTTGACTGTTGCTACCAATACTAGCCTGACTAGTCTACTGCTTACTGCTTTGCAATGTTTTATTCCGTCCGTTGCTCTCGATGTCAGCTCAATGTTTTTCAGTTTTTAATTCCGGATATTTTCTTGTATAGATTAAGGATTTTTTCAGTCTGGCTCAATCTCCTATGGACGGGGAAACGTTTACAGAAATCTTGCATACGAGGTCAGTCCGTGTTATGAAATAGCAAACGTAGTTCTTCTAAATAAATAACCGGTTCAATTTATCATTTACAATTTTACAGAGGCATCAATATTCGATACCTTGGTAAAATCGCCACTTGTCTCGCAGGGAGAAACGACTTGGAACATGTATATGTGAGTTAAGTATGCGATTCTTACAAATGTATTTGATCCATAGAGGTGATAGACATTATTATGTCTGTTATTTCTATATGATAAGATCGCATTAGAATGGAAAAGTCTACATATCAGGTTTACCACCATTCAAACCTCTAAACAAATTTGTAGAAATGAAAATAAATTCTTGGCCATGTTAATGTTGACATAAATATATTACCTTGCAGAAAATATGTATTTCTGAAATGATCTTGAGAGCCGCGAAGAAGCTATTTAAAGATCACATGCGGCAAGGTATTTAAGATGTGCTGAAATATCATAATTTTTAATCATTTTAACGTGTTTTTAATCTGTCTAACAACATCAAAATAACTTTGTAACTCTTTGGAAAATACTTCTTATTCTATTTTGTCTGTGTCTTTTCTTGTCTGTCAGTAAGCCGATAATTGTTTTACATAATAGTAAACCTACTGTATTTTAACTTTTAGCATTACAACAGAATCTTGCTACGGCTGTCAGTCATTTTCTGAACTGTCTATTGGTAAGACATATTTCTACTATACTTCATGTAAACAGGCGAACATCATTTCAAGCAAAATGTGCGTGTTTTTCTCCAACAGAGCTCGTATCCTAATCCAGTTCCAACAATACCGAATGACGAGGTCAGTGAGTTTTATAATCCTTAATCTGCTAATCTTAACCGCTGGATCTATCCTTCTATCGAGCTTTCATCAAAATTTTCTATAATCATCAGTTTGAACTTCATGTTCTCCCGTCTTTAGACGAACCATAAAAAGAAAAAGAATAAGAAAAACAGAAATAAACAAAACTCCAATAACGAAGGTACACTCGTATTTTGTGGCATTTCACTCGATATATATATGAAACATCCGCTATGAAACAATATCGTTGACATATTTCCAATTTCTTGTTCAGTTATTTGGGCCAAACTAACTCCAAGTCTTCTGTGGTCCTGGATTGTCACCGACATACAAAAACATTTCGGGTTTGAGCTTAAAGAGTAAGTGACTTCACAAACGCCCATTTATTCATGTAGTTCGCTAAAGCTTGCCTGCATGTAGTTTCTGTTACATTCATAGCCAGGTACGCCACGTAAGTATTTAATACGCAAAGCTTTCGGTCCGTTGACCCAGCGCGTTTAATTTCGTTAAAACTTCTGTCGTTTGATATTTTGCATCCGCCAAATACTGTCAAAAACTTAGTAAACTAAATGATTGATGAAATGAAGCTAAAATAAAGTGATTTCCATTTGTAAACAGAGAAGGTTTTAATAGTTTATGTCTTAAATATTTCCCGCCAAAATATGCGGCATCATACATTTCATCTTGTTAAAATTTCTTTCTTTTGATGTTTTGCATCCACCAAGTACTTTCAAAAACTCAATCAAGTAAATGACCGATAAAAATGAAGCTAAAATAGTGATTTCCATTGGCAAAACGAGAAGGTTTTAAGAGTTTTATATCTTAAACATTTTCCCGCCAAAATATGCTGCATAAAAATTTCATTGAAATATTAGTAAACAAGTTGGCATTTTTTGGCTTATTGGTGCGGTAATACATTGTTTTGTTGTAATTTCATGTGCCTTTATTGTAGAGGAAGTATAGACGAAGTCATAAGCACCTATGGATTACAACCTCTTTCAATGCTTCGGTCGTTTTGTTTAAAAACAGGTGTGTTGGTTGTGAAATCGCAGGTCGAACAAAGCAATGAGTGGAGTGTGGAGGAATTTTCAATAATTGCAATGGTAAATTTGAATGTTTGCTATGATTTTATTCAGGTGTCCAAGTATTGCTTTCCGCTTACGATTTCGTTTCGAAGAGAAATCCCACGTTCAGCGAAGAACACGTTATGAATATCTTCCCCATCGTAAAACATACAAATCCTAAGGTAAGATGATGAATGAAATCTGGATTAAAATCGCGCATATAGCCAGTCGGAGTTAAATGCAAAAATAAAACCAGTTACAATCGTCAAAAATTTTTATGTGTGAAGCTTGCATGAACCTTTTTAATTTAAACAAAGCAAATTATTATTCTTACCAGGCGGTGGACGCGGCTGCATTATTTGAGGCGGCTCAGAATAAACTCCAGTCAGGTGAGTTTTTTCCACACTAATTCAGCAACCGCATATTTTTGTCGCTATTTGCTTGTCTCTTGGTGTTTTGCAACTACCAAAAACTGTTCAAGACTTAGTCCACTACATAATCTAAAGAATAAAGCTAAAATGTATTAACTTTGCGGTTGTACGCCGAAAATATTTGTGTTTTGAACGTTTTCTCGCTAATATACACGACATATCATATATATACATTTCCTGTTGATCTATGCTAATTCACATTTGTATCTTAAAATCGAAATGAGCTGACTAACTGGTGTATTTCCTTGTTTTGTAGGTTTTCTCAGCGAGTCTCACGGCATCATGGTGGAGGCTTTGAATCTCTATCATCAAGTGTACGGACCGCTGCACGGGGATATCGCGGTCTGTTACAGGTTTGTTGTTCGGTTACAGTTAGTCACAACTTTAACCTTTATCGTAATTGATGATTTCCGTTCACCACCCCCCTCCCCCTGTCTAGCCGTATATTTAGTTCAAATGTATACGGCCTTTTGTCATTGTTTATAAGTATCAGCGATATTTTTTGAACCTAAACTTGATGCAAACTTTGTCTTCTGTCTAGACAAATAGCTCGACTCTATTATATGGCCGATGACGCGATTCAGGTACAATTGCATGGGTTTCTACAATATGTTAGATTGACTCAGTTTGCTAAGAATCAGGCTAAATGAAGTGATTTAAAGTAGTACGCTGGTGTTTTATGTTTTGAATGTTTCCCCCCCCAAAAAAAATTTGGGCTCACAAAGAAGCTCTCTTCTTGTACAGGCTGTCCTACATCAACGGAAAGCCGTGGTTGTCTGTGAAAGAATTTATGGCATCGATCATCCTGATACGATAATGGCTTACGTAAGTGACTTAATCTTGTGTACTACCTTTAAGTTGGCTCATGCGAGATTAGCCTGAGATGGTAATAAAATAGCTTCACTGATATATAAACTATGACTGGATCGTCCGTTTGCTATAAATAATTGAAGCTATAAAATAGCGGACAATAAAGTGTTATGTTTTGACAGTTGCTCTCGAGTCGTTCAACTGTTCATCGTCTTTTTTAACAGCTTCACTTGGCATTGTACTCTCACAACGCTGGTCTCGTGTCTACGGCTTTGAAACTTATGTACAGAGCCCGATATCTCGCACTGGTCGTCTTTGGCGAGGGACATCCAGACATGGCAACATTTGATGTAAGATTCACATCAGTTTCTGTAACCAGGTTCCATTCACAGCAGGAACAAGTGCCATATCACACTACCCCACCTCGTCTCTTAAGCTTCATGCCCCCCTTCACCCTTACCCCCTCTCTGTATACCCCCTTATCCACAACCTCACACTTTATTCTGAGGTCTGCACATGGCGCTATTTACACTTATACTCGACATAACTCCGTGTTAAATTTCCCACGCCCCGGCTGTATCCCCTAACCCCTCCCCCACCGCCCTGGATGATTCAATGCAATAAAACCTCTTTGTTTTTTAGAGCAATATTGGTTTGGTTCTTCAAGGACAACGAGAATTCGACCTTTCAATAAAATTCCTGGAAAATGCCGCACTGATTCAGCAAAAGTAAGGCTGTAATGCATTCGTGGAAATGACTTCTTGTCCGAATTACAATGTATGTTGTATTTGTTTTAGATATCATGGCCCAGAAAGTATTCACACGGCTATGAGGTAACGCACGCGAATTTCAATTGCTCGACTCTTCCATTGTTCCTTCATTGACAGTTTGTTGTATTCTTTAGTTTCCATCTCCTAGCAAGAGCTAAAGCCTCGGCAGGCGACTATCGTTCCGCATTGCAAAGCGAGAAATCCGCCTTTAATGTCTATCAGAAGAAGGTATAACGGGATTCTAATGATAATTTACTGAAATTGTCAAACTTTTTTCAAGAATATGGATGAGGGAATCCATATATAAATATTTATCCATAAATGATCTATAATGATTTGCCACGATTTTATCTTCCCGAGGTATTGGAAGGTGTGACCGTCATGATTTTGAATAAATTTTCAAGATGTTTACGACTAAATTCTTATAGGAAATGAAATAGTCTTAAAGAGCGGAAATTGTTTCATATATTTGCCTCTAAATCTGATATAGACTAAATCTTTGTCTCTTCTGAAATCGGGGATCTGTCGGGAATATGTTCTGCAGTGCAGAGTCTGCACATGTGTATGTGTTAGTAGCTACATAAAAATGATCCCAGTTAGAATGCTATTATAGCCAAATGGATTGTACCGACAGTACCTTGAGTAATGTCTATCAATACATTTATACAGTTTGGAAATTTGGATATTCGATGTCAAGAAAGTTCTGAATTCTTGAAGCAACTTACAAAACAAGCCGTTCAGATGCAGAGAAAGGTATTGGTTGGACGACGTCTTTTAACAATCAATTTATAAGTCACGTTTACACTACACTCAATTTATCGGCACGGCTAAAATTGGTATGCGTACCCAATTTTACTAGTGCTCAGGCTACCAAAACAAAGGCCGGGCATGGATGAAATGGGCACGGGTACCCATTTTAGCCGAGCCGTGCCGTGCCAATAAATCGAGTGTAGTGTAAACGGGGCTATAAAACAGTTAACAGAGGCATGCTTTTCCTAATCCAAATGTGGTTTCAATTTTATTTCATTTTTTTATAACTTAGCTTCCATCTTAATAATGTCATAGAGTATAAAATAGTCCAGTGTTTGAATTCTCGATCCCTTCTTGCTTATAGATAAATGAATTATCAGGTATTGGTGGACGAGGAACAACGGCTGCAGAGGTAGGTGCTTCTGACTCTTGTTAAAGCTTGAATGTTTTGCTTTGTATAGAGAAGCTGCAGTAATCACAAATGAAATTTTCCACGCATGCGTATATCTTAGGTAACAGTGCCGCAAGGTGATAGAGAAGAGATATCTCGGTTGATGGGATTTATTTCAGGTCTTCAAGACTCACCTTCAAGGTATGCGTTGGATAAATACTATCATCAGCTTCGCTGATATTATATTTAAGAGATCTATTTACACTGTGTGCGATTTGGTGTTTGAACAATTCTTACCCTGGTGTGTGCGATCAAATAGACGCGCGAATACACTTTGCATTACAAATTTCGCTCTCAGCGGGATGAGCGAGAATGTGACAAAAACCTTAGGAAAAGCTCTCCTTTTTTCTTTAGAATAAAGGAGCAAGATGAACAGCAAACCTAATCCCTACGTTTCCCCCTTACCACCCTATCTACCCTGCTTTCACCTTCTTGCCCTGTCCAATAAGTTTGGCATTCCTTCGGCAACAGCGTAAAACCGCTTTGCTTTTTTGTATTTGAGCCAAGGCATGAATAACCATCTCACGTTCGCATCTTTTGCTCTCGGCTGAACTTTTATACAAACAACTATAGCTTGTACTATTCGACAAATTTACCGCGTAAAACACTTCAAGATTCATTCATTGAGAACTTGTGTGTTGCGACAATACATTATCTCTTGTTATTGGGAGAAAGACGACTGCAAATTGTGTGAACTTTGATTTAAATAAGCATTCTGCATGTAGAATTGCAAAAAAATAGCCGGTTTTCTACAAGGTGTATACAAAATTTGCTTGGTCATTTTGTACAAGAAATTTTTCGGCAATTTGTCAACATACATGGAGTATATTATTCAACGTACATAAAGCGTTATGTACTCTATGGTGTATCATGAAAAACAATCTGGAATCGCTTCATTAATCTACCATACTTTATTTTTGAAACACAGAGGCGTTTGAATAGATTCGAATTGTATTATAAGGAACCAAATTACTACACAGCACAAAGCAGAATTAATGAATTTATGCGATTACTCGACGTAAGTTAGGTTAACGACGTTTTCAATTTGACCAGCATCCTTGAACCTGTTTTCCCTTTTGTTCTCTCGCTTTTCTGGCAGCGCTAATGACCGTATTCAGTCGATCTGTTTAACATAACCGTCAAGCCTTGCGATTTTTCTGCAGTCGCCTTTTGGCCAACGTGAACGCTTCGCAAAGAATTACGATTAATACAATCAAGTCAAATTCCTATTAGGTCTAAATCATTTCAATAGACTAACAAGTCTTGCCTACATTCCTTTATTCGAAGATGTTCAATGTATTTGATGTCTTTGAGATGCTGTATTTCTTCAATCTTATCAACGAAGTGTGTTGTATGTAGTCACGCTCGACACCAGCGCTTGTTGTTTATAACCTTTGATGTCTTTGGGGTGTTTTACGTAAATCGACTCGCCTTTAAGGGAACTCCCAAGCAAAAGACAAGTTCCTTGTTCATAAGGTAATTCAGAATTACTGTTTAATACATTATGTGGCTCAAATACAAAAGTATTAAGCGATTTAGAATTATGCTATTGCCGTTAATGGCTACTGATTGCATGCATGTGTTAGTGGCGTTAGTTTTATCTGTTAGAATGGACTATTAGAATTTCGAGTTATTTATTATTTATGTGATTGAAGGCTGTATCCTTTACAAGTTCACGTACACTCGTCCTTGTTTAATCGGTAAACAAAGTCGCTTAATCGCCATCCTGTTTTGAAGATGGCATCTCCACTTGACTAAATCTTGGCATCTCCACTTGTCTTGTTTTAAGCGTCGTACAGGCGAGCTTGCTTTCTTTGACAAGTCAGTTACCTTTGACAGTTTCGTTTGTTCGCGAAAAAAGTGACAAATCTTCGTAGACCATGCAAGAGCCTTGTGGAAAAGCCTGGTCATGCCGGCTTTTCAACAAGGAGAGGCTAGTGCACACGAGCATCGGTTGTGTGAAATAGATGAATGCGTTTGTGGATTGGAAAATACAAGCTTCGTGCATGAATGTTGGTGAAATCTTTGCGAACAGTCAATGAAATAAGTTCGTCGAAAAATGGCGGTGAAAATCTTGTTAGCTGTTCAAAGCGAGCAAGGGAACTTGTCGAGAAAATGTTTCATGGAAAATTTGCTTGTTTGTACGAGACTTTCGGTGTTTCATATTTACCACGGAGCTTGAACTCCATGCATCATTGGTCAACTGGAATGTGTTTTTTTGTCTCTCTGAAATAAGTACGAGCGAGTGAACTTCGAGGATTTCAGAATTCAATGCGTGTTAATGGTAGACTTATGTAAAGGTACTGGTGTAAATACCAGTTTCAGATCCTGGCGTAGGGGTTTTCGACTAGTATTTTTTATCAATTTATATATCAGTCAAACGTACAATATGAGCCCTCGACCCGCGGTCGTGTGATATAGAGACCCCTGGGTAACCTTTTAGGAATACAAAAAATATTTCATTCGCACTATATCATAGACATCTTTCATGACGTCAACGTTGAAAGTCTAATCTTACACGAAGTTTGATTGGTTTGTTAGTTTTGGGGAGCCAATCAAACTTCGTGCAAGATCAGACTTCCCGCGCTTGACGTCATCAAAGATGTCTATTATGTAGTGCGAACGAAATATTTTTGAGGAGCGTCATGAGAAAGGTACATTGTTTGTTCCTACAGGCTGAGTTTAGCAAGCAGGTTTTGCTGAATGTGAATGGTTTTATATTTATCTAAAGCATTTAGCAGGTTTTATACGTTGGTTTTTGGCTGATTTGATAAACATTTCTGGATAATTTGAAGTAATTCTAAGAGTGCTGTTTAAAACTTAAATGCATCAAACTTAGGCAAATGGTGGGATGCATATTTATGAATTAATGCATTATTTTTCAATTAATTTTACCAAACACTGATATTATATGTAGTATTTCACAACCAACCTCTGTGCAGCTCGCCCCCCCCCCGGATATTGATCGTACATAACATGTCTAAAGGGGGGAGAGCTTAGCTTACAAGGTTGGCGTTTTTCTACCTGGCGTTTAACAGGGTATATTTAAAAATTGATTCGTTAGTTTCTTTATTATTGACTAGGGTATTTTTGTACAAAGTTGCATTTGGTATACTTCTTTGTTTAAAAGTTTCACAAATGAAATGAATAAACGCCTTTGTTTAGATTGCAATGTTTTTTTTGCGGAATTTTTATTCTTCAATGAACTCTTGCTCTTCCCAGTAGTCCGCGACCACAGTTTGATAACCACTTGCTCTTCTTAAAACACGACTAAGACCTCCTCGATTCACCCTTGAGGGGCGATTCACCCGGGGTACTCGCTTTGGAACCAGTCATATTTTGAATGAAATCAAGTATTTCGGTAAAAATAAAGCTGTGAAACTACGTTCCCGCGCTAGGCAGATGTAAATAACGATATATTTGAATGCATATTTCTTGAATCGCTCTAAAACACCAGTCATCTGTCTGCGTTAAATACAACAGGACCGGTCTGATCGTTTTAACCGTATATAGGAAAGCACCTAAATGCGGCGTTACAAGACTGAGGCATTTGAAGTTGACAAATACGAACATTTCTTAGATCTGCTGACGTTTTATTTGCATTTCGAACAATCATTACAAATTAACATCTCTCAAGATTACAATTGCATTGCAATTTGCGAGTAATGGGCTGTTTACATGAGCCCGGTTACCCGAGATTCAACGAAGCGTGAGAGGACTTTGAGGTATTGAAATAAGTCTTTATGACACCAAACAAGCACATGCTATTGTTGTAGTGATTATACGACTGCCAGGATCATGTTATCTGCTCATTTCAATACCTCAAAATCATCTCACGCTTCGTTGAATCTCGGGTAACCGGGCTCATGTAAACAGCCCCTAAAATTGCATAGTGTAACAGCGCTTTGGTCCTGCAAAACAACGAACAACATAACCTAAGTTGTTTTTTTGAAAAATATTGTAGTAATAATCCAATATTGAGATTAGTTGTAGGATTAAAGTTTTGCGAATAATTGTTCGAAAAAGTTAGGCCTGTTTCAGACGTAGAACTTTTCATGTGCCAAACCTAATGTTAATGAGCTAAAGTCTTGGCTTAAGTTCAATTCGATTCGGCACATAAAACGTTCGACGTCTTTAACTGGTCCTTGGAGAACGTGATAAAGTTTTCAATTTAGTTTATTATTATCTTTCATGTATCTACTCCAAATCATTCTTGAATTTGGTCGTTCGTCTTCGCGATAATCACTGTTCGTAGGTTTCTGCTCTTTCTTCCCGCTCTTAACCTCAACATCATCTCTTTCATTTGGAGTGCGCCGATCCTCGTCATCGGAAACGTTATCGCTATTACTTGGGCATTGGAACATCTCTTTTTCTCGGAATTCCTCAACGGTCCAGCAAAACTCATCGGTCGGGCTCATCATCTTCTCTGGTGGTGGATTTTGACAAGCGGTTTGCTCTCCGATGACGAGACCCATCCCGTGAATAAGATGGTAGTCGATATGACAGTGCATAAACCACCATCCGGGATTATCCACCATAAACTCTATAACGACATATCCGCCGCCCGACACAGTGATCACGTCCTTAGGTACGGTCGTACTCGTAATATCCTCCACCGATGGTCGGATACCGTCCCTCCAATGGGCGTGGCCACACTCCGGCACCAGTATATCCTTGTTCGCAGCCTTGATAGTACCATTATCATGGTACTCTGGATAGGCGATTTTCTTCACCCAGAAGGAATGACCATGCATATGCATAGGGTGGGTTATCTGATTTGCGATATTTTCCCCGCTGCCTTCCCTCGGTATCGACGAAAAGACGAACTCGTACGACTTCGATACGTGTTTGTCGACTAGTATTGCGTGCGCACACTTTCCACCGCAGTTCTTGTACGCGAAATAGGCGCAATCGTCGTTTGCCGGCCCGTCGGTCATGACGAAAGGTACATCAGGGAGTTCGATTTCGACGTCGTTGATCGTCGCTAGGTCACCCGAGGAGGTTTTAGAGACGTCAAAATTGAAAAAGTACGTCTTTTTCGCTGGAGCTGGTGGCAAATCCTGCGGTTTGGCCGGAATGAGCAACCGAAGTGCATCATAGATGTTGTAGCATTGAATAGATGGTGCATTTTCCCTACTGCTAAACTTCGGGTAGTTCTCGAAAGGGCAGTTCAGCGCTACACAGTTTTGGGTGCAGCGAGTTTTCGCAGTGAGGCCTCCCCCCTGGCCGCTGTATTTGAGATACACGATGCCCACCCCCGCCGGTTGGGTGTGGTTACTGCAGTACACCTCAACGGATTCGATTCGAATTGGAAATATTGTCCCCGGGTCGACATCAGCTTGCGTTTTCACAACAAAATCGTATCGTTCGCCAACGTGAACGTGTAGAATGTCCGTTTCAAAAGGTCGCGTCAGGTAGCCGTCCGTCGATATTACGGTCAGTCTATGGCCGTCAATGGAGACACGGATTGCGGTCACCTCTACGGCACCAATCACTCGAAACCTGTAATATTTTCCTTTCTCTACGGTGTAAGATGGTTCCTGCAAAACATTGTAATTTAGATTGTCAAAAAGCATGGTTTTCTTTAAGGTGTGTTCACACGATCCAATTTTGTTGGATCCAATTCACTTCTGAAGGATGTTTTATAGTCTGTTGACTTGCGATGTATATAAGTAGCAAATCCACTGAAGCCAATGCACTACGGCTTCATCAATAACCGACTATATTTCATACGTCAGAAGTGAATTGGGTGAACAGACCTTTATATATACAACAGCAATGGTTTTCTAGATGCCTACCTTTTTGCCAATGTGATCAACTCCTTTTTGTAGTATGACACCATTAATTTGAAAAGAAGATACATATTCATCCTTCACTGGTTCCCTAGAGCCATCTTCCGTGCAATTTCTTTCTCCATGCGAAATTCTCATGTGTTCTGTGACGGACAGAGTGAAGCGAAAGTCTTCAACAAGGTTGTCCGGCTCAACACGCACTGAATCGATCAACTTTTGCCATGTTTCTTTCCCCTCGTTCACGATTAAAGCTCCGAAAAGACCATGATCTCTTTGATAACCCACATGGGAATGGTACCAATGCGTTCCACAAGGATACGCCCGAATGATATATCTATGAATTGAATTTACAACCACGTTACAATGAATTGATTGAGCGGTTTTTCGACTAGTGGATTGCAGTTTCGTACTTTTGTACAGTTAATCAATTGTAGTTCAACTTTCGTACAGTTAATCTACTGCAATTCATATGACGATAGTCTTTATCGTCATATGAATTACAATAGATTAGCTGTACGAAAGAACAGTAACTTCGAAAAACATTTTGTAGCTTTAGTGAATCTGTGTTTCGACTATACTTTTATCAGTTTTATCGTCCTCAGGAGTCAGGACAGATCAGTTCAATCTGCGTTTCGACTAACATATAGTTATAGGCGAGAGGTAGATTAACTGTGGTATGTGTGCTTTTAAACAACTGTTAATCTTCTGTAATTTATTGTCACTTTCCCGTTGACAGTTACACATAAATACGGATGACCTTGGTTGCACACCTCGGCCATATTTGAACATACAATGATAGTTTGTAATGAGATAAAGGATAACATTAAAAAACTTTTCTACACCAGACAAGGAGCGTTACGATATATATGCAAGTCGTTTTTCCACAAGGCAGATCTTTGCTTAGAAGACACGGGCAATTTCGCAAACCTAGGACATGAAAAATTGATCCCTATTGAAAGCAAAACGAATTATTTCGCTGAAGCACAGCGTTTGTACAACATATCCAGGAAAGCAAGTTACCTGAATTTTCCTCCTTTTGGTGGTATTGCATATTGCGTTACGTTCGCCACTCCGTCCATCCAAGGAACCTTTCTTTGACGCATCCCATGCCAATGAATCGAAGTACCTTCATCGTCGATATTATTGATGACATCAACTGCTAATATTTTGTTCTCGTTTATGATGATCGTCGGACCAATACGACCGCCATTAATACTGAAAATCTTCTTTTCATCGCTTGGTTTAGGGTTTCGTGTGATTACAAGTTTAATATAACACTCTTCTCTGTCCCCACAATCGCATACCGAAGGTTGGTAGTTGGTTTGTTCAGAGCATTTGATATAGGGTACGAATTCTTCCTGGAAACATTTATCTGGATCTGAAAACCACACAAAAAAAAGCTTTGTTGTGGATACATGCTTTCCCAAATTGACGGCTTGTCCTCGCAGTCCTCGGCTGGATTTCCACTTGCAAAGACACAGTTCGCTGTCGGCTTCGAGTGAGAAGCAGTTTGCATATTTCCGTTTGAATTTTAACAGCATAAATAGATCAGTTCAATTTAACTGTTCTTTTCAAACAAAAATATGCAAATATTTCGCTAGCAAACCATTTCTCTGCAAGCAGGAATCCAATCTCATACCTGAATTATACGGTTAATTAAACCACATCATCTAAAACCCAGGGGTCGGTTGTTCGAAAGGCATTTAGCTCGAAATGGAAAACAAAATTATCTATTTATTGAGCAACTGAGCTGAAATATTTCGATGTAAATAGTTTGATTTTTAATGGAAGTACATATTTAATGCACAAGATGCAGGCTGAACCATTCACAACATCTATGGGAGTGCTTTTGAAATTTGGCTTATCCACCGTTTAAGCTAAATGCCTTTCGAACAACCCGCCCCAGTTCTCAATAATCAGCGACAGCAGGCGACAATCAATGACTACTTATTCATACTAATCATAACTCGTCCACTCTTCCATTCTCTGTTGTTTTTTTCGCAACCAACAATTTTGATCCATATAGTTTTAGAAATCAATTGTAATTTACCAAACAAAATGAACTATTGATTCGCTATACTTTGACAAGATACCAAGCTTGCCTACTTTACCATAGCTTGAAAGAGCTTCTGGAATTAAGTTAAACTCTAACAGTTTGACAGCGAAATATTGTGGTAAATGTTGTAGCTAAATATTGTGTGAGTATTGTTAAATATATCTTTCTAGGGAAGAATATATATAACGATATAAAAAACTTCCTAGCTTTACCGGGTTTGAACGTCAGTTCACACAAGTGATATTGTTGCAATTTTAGGGGATTTTGATTCGAAAAGCCGATTGATATGAAGACGCGAATAAGTTATGAACGTTTCAGTAAATGCTCTCCAATAAGCAGGTAAATGTTTACAATCATTGACCGTGAAGATGTAAATTAAAGTAATTCGGTTCAGTGCAGTCAAGAGTCACAATGTTTCCGGGCAGGATTACTGAGCAAATATCCGAGCGAAATTGTTATTTTTATTCTTAAAAGATTTCTTGAATGCAGGCGAATGTATGTACCTGTTAGCATTTCATCGCGAGCCTTTGATTTTGTCGCCAAAATGGCGGCGGTTAGGACCAGAAATGTCCGAAAATCTAGAAAAAACATAGATGATATTATTCGGTATTCGCCGCATTATCATATGCCCCTGTTGCAATTGACCACCAGCAACCACGTTCTAATTTTCCAAGAAGGTTGGCATTAAGCAATTCGAAAACAGAAAAGGATGAATTCTTTCATAACACAAAGTTCAGATAACACAAATCAATAAGGAATTTAGCCACGTAAGTATTTGATACTGCAAAGCTTTCGGTCCGTTAACCCGTTACGTGGTGTACCTACAAACTAAATTCCTTATCGATTGTCACCATGCAAACATTCAAGAGTATTTTTAACACAAAGTTTCATAACACAAACTTCATTTCATAAATGTATACATAAAGGAGAGCGATGCTGCTGGTTTTGACTCCACAGCATCTGATGCTGTTTTTTCCTCAATTTAACTCAGCGCAGATTGTCCGCATAGGTGATAGGTGTGATATGCTATACACATTAATGCTAAAAATGACGAAATGCGGGGATGGTTTCTGCTCGAAATTAGACAATCTATAGGCACAGCCACTGCCCGCTGTTTGAAAGTCAATAATCCCTATCTGATACAACTGAAACGGATGTTATAATAATTTAATATTGCCGACGGGATAAAATTAAACAAAGAATCTTTAGTACTGGTTGGTGTGCATTTGAAACGTCTTATGGAATAAATCATGGGGCAACTCGCTAAAGAACTATAGTATTTATCGAAACGGAGGCCATGCAGCCGGTCGCCAGCGTTTTAATTGTCTTTAAATTAAGTGCCTTCATATTTGCAAACGATAAGTGCCTTCTTTTCGCAATCTTCGTCTGTTACTCTATAATGTTCTCAACAGCACCAATGCAAATTTACTTCTCAAATCCACGAACAAAGTATTGTTATTTAGGACCATGAAACCACTCAGTCATATATTATTGACAAAAATATGCTACACGGCATTGTTGTAAATTAGTTTTCGTTATTTGTAATCGTGTGGTGATAGGTTCCGCCATGCATGTTTATGAAATTGCACGGTATTGAATTCGTAAAAACACACGAACTGTTAGTCTAAATCGAGAAACTTGAAAGCCAACCTGATGTCATCTTCACAGCGTGTCAGAATTGCTTTGAACAGAAGCATGAATGAGATCCGTGCTTTGTCTAAAAAAAAGAAAAAGGAAAACACGGATGATTATAGTCGTGCAACGGACAACCAGCCGGGCAAATCACTGGCGTCACAACAAGCACAAATATGGCTTGTTTGTTATCCTCAACGGCTCATTGATGTTGAGAATGTACGTAAACTGGTGATGCAACCAATTTTGCCAAATCTGTGAATCGAATAATAGGATAAATGTAACCTTACCTAATTGATTATAACTTTAGTCCTAATTGAAAAGGAAGACAAAGCGTCAACAAGCCACCATACGTTGCCTTCGTCACACTATTGAACACAGTGTTCACTACTTAATACACGCTCTGTACCCACCTGACATACGTTTCCTGTTAGCCACTCACCAGTGACCATTGCGCCATTCTTAAACAGTGAACCGTTAAACTTCAATATATTTTTGTCAGGCAATCATCTCAGGAAATCAATACTATCACTGTAATTATGAAAGTAAGGTTTGCATGCATTGATTGGTGTGTGTAGGTCATATATGGTATATGTTACTGGTACTGGAGCACGGGACTAATGATGTAGTTTTTTTATTCCTTGGTTGATAAAAACTAGGAGCCGAAGAACAATGATTTGATATTCATCGGTATATACAAAGTAAATATTAGTAACCCGGATAGTTAACGAGACTTTGATATAAACGGTTATTGAAGGTTGATGGCATTCCGTGTACGCTGATCTGAAATCTATAGGCAGTAAATCAAAACGATGTTCACTTTGACGATTTGAGAGTTAGCAGCACATTTTCAGTCTGCACCAGGTTTTAGGGACAAAAATATTTATTATTACTCATACAAGAAAAACAATGACTATGTACGTTGTTGAAATGTTAAACGTGCGAAATGGTAAAGTTTTAGGCCCAAGTGGGCAATACAAAACGTTTAGAATATACCTTATACAACCTATGTAATTAAATGTTGCGTAGGCTACGAACAATTCAAAATCCCCGTGAATCTAAGACTGCATCCCTAAACTACAAACTATCTCAAGTATTATATGAAAACGTGAAAGAGATTGTTCTTTCTAAAACCATTTCTGTTTTTTCTTCATTTGCTTCCCCAGAAGCTTTCTTGGATTCAGACATTCCTCTTCATAGTTCTCGCCAGCAGATTTACCGTCGTCCATCTCGCTCTTGACATCAAATTCTTTAGCCGGTTCATTTTGAACTTGCTCCTCGTCGGCGATCACTGGAGGTTTTTCGGTGCTCTTTGGACACACGATATGCTCCTCCTTTACTTTAAATTCTTCAACACTCCAGCAGAATTCTGTGGTTGCTGAGTCATTCATTGCAGTCGGTGGTGGATTCTGACAGTCGGTTTCTTCCCCTATGGAAATCGCCATCCCATCTGTTAAGATGAGGGTCAATGTGACAATGCATGATCCACCATCCTGGATTCGTTGCACGGAACCTAACTACAACATAACCACCAGCAGGAATGATGATCACATCCTTGCGTATCGTTGTGTCGTTAACAGGGGGTATATGTGGTCTACCCTCACTCCAGTTACCATGTCCACAATCTGGTACCTTTATATCATCGTTCGCTTTTTCTATTGTACCATTCGCGAAATACTCTGGGTAGGCGATTTTTGTCACCCAATATGAATGACCGTGCATGTGGTTAGGATGTGTTGCCAGATTTAATATACTATCTTCTCTTTGACTTCTTGGTAGCGAGGAGAAGACGAATTCGATGGACTTTGAACGATTTATTTGTTTAACATAAACCGCGTGCGGACATTCAACGCCACCGCAGGGCGGGTTTTGGTTATACGCGCATTCGCCTGGAACGCGTCCAACGCTCATGTCGAAAGGTATGCTTGGTAACCCATTTTTAACACTGTTGATCGTTGGGCCCTGGTTGAATATGAAGTCGAAAAAAAACTCTTGTACTAGTGGGTCGTCTGGAAGTTCATTTGGAGGGGTTGGAACTAGCAAGCTAAGAGCGTTGTACACGTTGATGCAACGATACGATGGAACATAATCCTCAGGGTAGTTCTGGAAAGGACAGTTCAACGCTATACATTCTCCCGTGCAGGGGTGATCTCTTACAATTCCCGCGTTTCCTTTATACTTTAGAAAAGCGATGCCACTGACTTCCGGCATACTGCGGTTTTGGCATTTGACCGCCACCGAATCGATTCGAATTGGAAAAATTGTCCCTGGTTCGAAATCGTCCCGTGTCTTCACAACAAAATCGTATCGTTCGCCGACATGAACGTGTAAAACGTCAGTTTCAAAAGGTTTTGTAAGATAACCGTCCGTGGACACAACGATCAATTTATGGTCATCGATAGAAATGCGAAAGACGGTCTCCTCCATGGCGCCAATCACTCGAAATCTGTAGTTTTTCCCTTTCTCCACCGTATAATATGGTCCCTGCAAATATTAATAAATTTGTGTAGTTAAACAGATTCGCAAAAACACACCTCTTGGCAGCGAGACATCATTTAGTATCAACGCAACGCGGTATCATATATCTCGTTTTAAAGTTGACGTGCTCGCTTGAACAACGTGCTACGATTGGACCTGGCTTATTTTGGCAACGAAAATCACACCACCCACCTCTAGTTCTGCACCCACCTTTCGTTCCACCCCCTACACCCACCTCTAGTTCTACTTCTAACTCGGACATTGCAGTTTTCAAAAACGTACCTCATGAATTCCTTCATCTACAGATCCTCTTAGTACAACGCCATTTATTAGGAATGCGGAAATTTTTTTATTAAGTTGTGGTGACCGGGATTTATCCAGCATACAAACGCCTCCTTGTCCAGATTCCAGGTGTTCTGTAACAGACAACGTGGAATTCTCTGGGAAATCTTGAATACTCTCTCCCTTCAGGGGCGGGAAATTGCTCAATTTGTCCAATATTCCTTCATTTTCTCTCACGATTAAAGCTCCTACGATTCCGTGATCTCTTTGATATCCCACGTGGGAATGATACCAATGAGTTCCCGAAGGATGAGCCCGGAATATATATCTAAAATGAAACGTGTATCTCTGTTTACCCCCTGCACTTTGCAGTGGGATTCCTTAATTTCTGGTGGTTGAAAATAAAGGGCTGTAATGAATGTTTTAAGGGGGATTATCAACGTTTGTTGACTTTGCTAACCCTGGAGATCTCCTGATGAGTGATAAAGTCTACGTTTTCTACCTGAATTTTCCACCTTCTTTGGGAATTGCGTATTGCGTTATATTTGCCACTCCGTCCATCCAGGGAACATTTCTCTGATGCATCCCATGCCAATGTATCGAAGTCACTTCATCGATCTTATTGATGACATCAACGGCTAATATTCCTTTGTGTTTTACGATAATCGTGGGGCCAAATCTACCATTATTAATTTTGAAACTACTATTACCACCTGTGATCTCAAGCTTCACATAACAACCTTTGACTTTGTCTCCACAATCACATACCGAAGGTTCAAAATTCGTTTCATTAGAGCAGGGGATATAGGATACGCGGTGCTCGTCGAAACAGACAGGAGAATCATTTGTCGATAAACCTGTAAAATTTTACGATCTTATTAATGCTACACACAACAAAAAGACTCCTCACTTCCCCTCCTGGCCATGTCGTCACCCCAGACATTGACATACATATACCTGGACTGCCTGCTCGTCATTAACAATGCGTGCTTCAAAATGGCGGCGATTATGAGAGTGTTTGCTCATAAAGTCGACCACTGACCAGTATTTCACTCTCATATTCATCAGGAAATCTGATTATCTGGATCTGACTTGCCACGCTCGTCGCTAAAAGTGTACGAGCAGGCAGTCCAGGTATATATATGCATGTCTGCTGATTTACTGAATAGAATGATTTCAGAATCGAATAGAAAGATGTTGTATATTATATCCGTAGACCGTAGGCATAGACGAAATCCAGCTAAAATCTTCTGTCGTGAAAAATAGCAATCTTGGCTATATACGATGCAGAACATCATTTAAAGTGGAAGTCAAATCCGTATTGTAAACAAGCGGTTTGTTTACATTTTTGAACTTCCACACTTTTTAAAATACATTGTGTTGTCTGAATATCTAACAACATTTAGGTTCAGTATGCTTTCAAATGAATATAAACTAGTGTTTTTGTTGAACAAAATTCGAAACAATGCGAAATTTGGACAAAATTTATTCAGAATTTGTGTCGGAGCTCACTTCCACGGACTTGACTTCCACTTTAAAAACATCTGTTAAATATTTCTATGCATACCCTGCACTGTTGACATCACGAAGAGAGCGGCAGCTAGAGCCAGAATATACTGCATATCTAAAGCCTCTAAAAGTAAATCGAGAAATTAAGAAAGTTGCTAATAATATTTAGCATTTAACGAGTAAAGGAAGTCGTTTCAATGATTTTACAATGGTCTTTCCAATACTACAGATGCAGCCGGTTGCTGGTAGCGCTATCCATCGGATAGTGATTTTTTCAATCGTTCTGGAAATGCTCGAAAAGCAATAAAATATCAGATCTGGAACGAAAAATTATTAAAGCGAACCTTCAGGAAATTGTACTGAATTTAGGAATACTAAGGATTTAATGAAACGGTTTCCATTTGACGCCGACGACGGCAAAGTATTATTGTCGGTGATATTTGATGTGTCAATCAGTGAAATATTTTGTCTTTCTGAAATCATTTTATCCTTGGATGATTACAGACAATGAGTCGGCGACAGGTCGGCGTCATATGGAAACCAGGCTTGATACACTTGGACCCAAAAACGGGAGATTTCAAAGCAAGTGAAAAAATTACAATCCGGTGGATAGCGCTATCCAGACAGCCTTCGTACAACCGGCCCCTGATGTGTAGATGTGGTTCCCTCCCGACAATCACATCATTCACATGGGCAGAGAAAGCGACAACATAAAATAACCGTGATAACATGCAACCTTGAAAGAAAATGCCACAAAATAAGGAATTCAGATATAGAAGCCAATAAGGAATCTAAAAGATTTTAGATCTAAAAGATTGTAAAAAAACTAGCTTTAATTATTCTTCACGAGCAACCAACATGCATACACTGTCTCATTTACATCTAACCAATAAAGAACATTTGTTTTCGCTCCTTACATATGAACTGAATATAAAACGTCGCATACGTCATTCAATGCTTGTCAACTAACTTTATATTATTTTCTTAATGTATAATAAAACCACATGTTTATCAGAAAACAGACATATATAACATTCACGCCTAACACAGTGTTCATCTTAATTCAACACGATAGATCAAACTCGTAGGACACAAGTCTTTGACAGATATTTCCTGTCAAGGCTTTAAAGGCATTGAATTCGAAGGAGCATTATCTTGTTTAGAATTTCTCGTTGGATCGCCTTTACATGCACTAACACTGACAGTTTAGGAATTGTGAGTGAAGTCAACACCAAAATGTGTGTGATCCTGTAACATCCTTTCCCATTAAATGGCTGCCAACAAAATTCTGGCTAAAAATGCTTGTATTTGACTCGGTATTCGAAGTTGAGGGCATTTTGACTTATTGTGGTGCCAGTTGGCAGATAAACAAAAAAGCACAATGGCAATATATTTATGAAAAGGTTTGCAAGCAAATACTAAAGTTGAAACTACTATGTTGTACTCCAAGTTTCTCAAATGCCAATATTATAGCTTCCGTTGACAGAACTGAAAAATATTTTCCTTTATGTATTGAATATATTACTCTAACTTGGCATTTTACAGTAAGTAACGAACGAGCTTTTTAGTCTTAGCCAATAGAGAACGATTAGCTTAACGTAAGTTTCGTTCATTACTGATAACGAGGCTACAAGTCCTTCGGTGAATGCCAATAACGACGTGAGCGAAAGGAAGGTTTATATCTGTTTTATAATACACCCAGAACTTCATTACAACCGTAATTCTCAATTCACAATTCTCAGCGCACTGCGCGAACGCAGTCTTAAATTGCCGTCGGTGTTTTGTTTTTGTTTTTTTTTGTGTTTTTTACGTTTTCGACCCGGTCTACCTGGCCGCGCAGGCCAACTAAGATACTCGTATTTTGAACTTGTTTGATTTCGTATCGAAATATTTTCGTGCTAAACACACTTCAAATAGTAATCTAAGCCTTGTAACCCCCACTAAAGAAATATTTTACTGAAACAAAAAAATTGAAAAAGTTTGTTGTCGCCGGGATTCGAACTCGGGTCGTGCGAACCAAAAGCAGGAAACTGCATGCACGATACACGTCATATAAAATAACACGTACACGAGTCGCTGTGCATGGCCGATAGCGCAGGAAATCTAGACGTCTGTCGTTCGAGAAAATACGTACAGGTAATCATAATGCTGGATTCTCGACTTGTCTTGTTTGATATGCTCATTCTGCATACACTAGCACACACTGATCATGGTAAACCTACACTAAAACGGGTTTACAGACACCGATCACATGAATCATGAAAGCCTTGTATGCTATGAAAGCCTTGTATGTTATTCTATGCCATTTTTCAATCAAACCGCACTTTCCTTTCAAGGGTAAAAACGGCCAGACCGATCCTATTGAATTTCAGTACAAACTGATTCCCAGAGTACATGATTCCAAACTCAGCCTTATTCACGTTACGTATATCGTTAGCTACATATGCCTAGCACCAAAAATGCAGTTTTACCCGTATATTCTGTACGAAGTGCTCTATTTACTAGAAAACCTAGGAAAGAAACATTTTTCTAAACGAATAAATATTGACAGGAAATGGGGCACAGTTGCATGCAACGATTGGCGCGACGCAGTAACCGCCAGAATTGGCGTCTTGTTTCCGTATATGAGCTGATATATTGTACAAAGCTTAGCCAATCACATCGCGTGACGCTGCAAATTCGGCGAGTAGGTATGTTGTAAACACTTTTCTCAATGAAAAACCGCAGCATTACAGATTACTCGACAGTGCGGCTCAACTATTTGTTCTTGGCGTCATATCACTCACAGTTTCGCACCACGGATATGGTCTATATGATACTCAATCATTAGATGAATCAAAATATTATTTTGGAACAAGAAAATTTAAATTCTAACCTGATTTTCAGCGCGTATCTTGATTTTTGTAGTCTAAGAAAGTAAAGGAATTATAGACGAGTAAAAAAGTTAAAAGTAAAAAAGTTACACGTCATTAAGTTGAGGTAAAATAAGAAGTGAATATTGTAAGTAATATTGTAGCTGGAAAGAATTGCAAAATGAAAGTAGATTAAAATGTACAGCACAGCGAAGTACGAAAGGTAGAAATATTCATACCTGATTTATTGCTAGTCTTCGCCAACCCAAGCTGATAGTGAGATGATGGCTTAACCATTGGTTTAACAGTTATGAACAAGTTTGTTCAAATCTGTTTGATATATAGTCTCGCTATACCGAGTGTGCGCAGTCAGAACAAATCTCTCAAGGATTTCAAGAACTCAAGTGAGTACTGGCAAATTAATGACAGGCCAGTGCGTAGTACATAAATAATATGTTAGCAGTTTGGTCTTATGTAAAAGCTTTATCACAGGGCCATGGCTGGGATCTTAATTCGGAGCAAAAAGTGTGATTGGCTCGTTAGGAGCCAATTAAATTTCGTGTAACATCAGACTTTTCGCGTTTGACCTCATTATGAAAAAGGTCTATTAGGCTTCTCTATCTAGCTTCTCGCTCTGCTTTGCCAATATCGTAAACACGCCCCATCTGGTTGCTTCTGCAAAAATAGACTACATGCATAAAATTGTGGTGGCATAGTGTTAGATATAGATAAGTATATAAATATAGATTTGAAGTATAAGTGTTTCAGATGATGCTATCGACTTTCAGTGGTCTCTAAATCCGCGTTGCCCTCACGAGATTGAGTGTATTCTATCAGTATGGTGTGCATGCGTGTAGGCATAACTATGCGCAGGTATCTGAGTGTCGGCTGTTCAAACAACATTACTCCGGAGTTTTGGGATTGACTTCGGATTGTTGTCGAGACTGGAACATTTAGATGTACATTTGAGAATGAATCGAATGGGATGTAATTTTTACCTCTACCTCGTACGCATGCGCCGTGATTCTCTATAATATAACAATGCCTTTATTTGCGTGTTTTAAAGCCAATATTGGAATATGATGGACATGCTTCAAGCACTTGTCGTGATTAACTAAATTTAGTACGAAGGTTTTTACCTTAGAACTGAGAAGTAAGAATTTTACTTCTCTCTTATTTGTTGTCGTAAACACCTCCAACAGGTCACCTCAACTGCCTAAATCAGATTCCGCAAAGTATCGATAACAGTTTTAAAGGTCGGTATTCCGGGACTTAAAAGGGCGGAGTTATAAAGAAATACATCCTAACCCACACATCACCTCGTGCTGGCGATATTCGTACTGTCACGGTTAAATTTAATTCGATTTGTTACTTTTCGCAAGTGAAATAGAACAAATTGAAGATTGTAGGAAAGTCCTTGAACTTGGCATGTCTTGCATCACTAACCGATTCTGCACAAATAGACTACACACTAATATAGTGGCTTAGTGTTAAATATAGACATTACACTATACCGCATTTGCAAGGTCACGAAATCATTTTAAGTTGTTTTACGGTGTCTCTGTCCTCAACACTTTTTCATTTCGCAGATTATGTTAAAGTAATCATGTCATCATACTTTTGGGAGTAAAATTCGCTTTGCTATGGCTAATTTTGATACGGTGTGCAAGCGAGTGGACCATATGCGCAGGCATCTGATGAGTGTCGGCTGTCAACCAACACTCTAATCTTTTGATGTTTTTCGGATTGTTGTTGAGGCCGCAACATTTGGATATAGCTACATTTGAGAATGAATCGTGTGGATTGTAATTTTTTTCTCTTCCTCCTGCGCATGCGCCGTGATCTCCTGTAATATAACAATGCCTATATGAGGGCGACTGAGTCAAGCAATTACTGATCATGCGAGACTAATCCTGTTGCTGTTGTTCTTCTGATATTTAGGAAGCAACCTTTAAGTAAATATTTCATAGCAATTAAATCGTATAAACCGTAGAGACACCGATTTGATAGCAATTAAGTCGTATAAACCATACAGACGCCAATTATAAACACTCACTAAATATGTCTTGCACAAACGATTTAAAGTTTGCACACGGAAAAACGAATCGTCTAAATTATTAACCTTGTGTGTAGCTACTATAAGTCTCAAAATGGCCATTTCACAGCTGTCAGATGCATGTGTATGATGAGCTGTCAAAAGATTGCAGAATGCGTATTCAGACGAAAAGTAACTTTTAGAGTTATTCAGTAGTTTTCTTTTTGATAGCGATACAGAAATGCACAATTGTGAACCAGTGCATGAATTGATTTTTCGGTTGAGACGTTATAAACACCAATTTCTGCGGTGTTGACCACGAGAGACCACGACCTTCAGTGGTCTCTAAATCCGCGTTGCCCTCACGAGATTGAGTGTATTCTATCAGTAGTATGGTGTGCATGCGTGTAGGCATAACTATGCGCAGGTATCTGAGTGTCGGCTGTCCAAGCAACATTACTCCGGAGTTTTGGGATTGACTTCGGATTGTTGTCGAGACTGGAACATTTAGATGTACATTTGAGAATGAATCGAATGGGATGTAATTTTTACCTCTACCTCGTACGCATGCGCCGTGATTCTCTATAATATAACCATGCCTTTATTTGCGTGTTTTAAAGCCAATATTGGAATATGATGGACATGCTTCAAGCACTTGTCGTGATTAACTAAATTTAGTACGAAGGTTTTTACCTTAGAACTGAGAAGTAAGAATTTTACTTCTCTCTTATTTGTTGTCGTAAACACCTCCAACAGGTCACCTCAACTGCCTAAATCAGATTCCGCAAAGTATCGATAACAATTTTAAAGGTCGGTATTCCGGGACTTAAAAGGGCGGAGTTATAAAGAAATACATCCTAACCCACACATCACCTCGTGCTGGCGATATTCGTACTGTCACGGTTAAATTTAATTCGATTTGTTACTTTTCGCAAGTGAAATAGAACAAATTGAAGATTGTAGGAAAGTCCTTGAACTTGGCATGTCTTGCGTCACTGGTTGATTCTGCACAAATAGACTACACACTAATATAGTGGCTTAGTGTTAAATATAGATATTAAGGATATTAAGGATATATAAAGTGGAATAGTGTTAAATATAGATATTACACTATACCGCATTCACAAGGTCACGAAATCATTTTAAGTTGTTTTACGATGTCTCTGTCCTCAACACTTTTTCATTTCGCAGATTATGTTGAAGTAATCATGTCATCATACTTTTGGGAGTAAAATTCGCTTTGCTATGGCTAATTTTGATACGGTGTGCAAGCGAGTGGACCATATGCGCAGGCATCTGATATGAGTGTCGGCTGTCAACCAACACTCTAATCTTTTGTTTTTTTTCGGATTGTTGTTGAGGCCGCAACATTTGGATATAGCTACATTTGAGAATGAATCGTGTGGATTGTAATTTTTTTCTCTTCCTCCTGCGCATGCGCCGTGATCCCCTGTAGTATAACAATGCCTATATGAGGGCGACTGAGTCAAGCAATTACTGATCATGCGAGACTAATCCTGTTGCTGTTGTTCTTCTGATATTTAGAAAGCAACCTTTAAGTAAATATTTCATTGCAATTAAATCGTATAAACCATAGAGACACCGATTTGATAGCAATTAAGTCGTATAAACGATACAGACGCCAATTATAAACACTCACTAAATATGTCTTGCACAAACGATTTAAAGTTTGCACACGGCAAAAACGAACCGTCTGAATTATTAACCTTGTGTGTAGCTACTATAAGTCTCAAAATCGCCATTTCACAGCTGTCAGATGCATGTGTATGATGAGCTGTCAAAAGATTGCAGAATGCGTATTCAGACGAAAAGTAACTTTTAGAGTTATTCAGTAGTTTTCTTTTTGATAGCGATACAGAAATGCACAATTGTGAACCAGTGCATGAATTGATTTTTCGGTTGAGACGTTATAAACACCAATTTCTGCGGTGTTGACCACGAGAGACCACGACTTTCAGTGGTCTCTAAATCCGCGTTGCGCTCACGAGATTGAGTGTATTCTATCTGTAGTATGGTGTGCATGCGTGTAGGCATAACTATGCGCAGGTATCTGAGTGTCGGCTGTTCAAACAACATTACTCCCGGGTTTTGATATAGACTTCGGATTGTTGTCGAGGCTGGGACATTTAGATGTACATTTGAGAATGAATCGAATGGGATGTAATTTTTACCTCTACCTCGTACGCATGCGCCGTGATTTTCTATAATATAACAATGCCTTTATTTGCGTGTTTTAAAGCCAATATTGGAATATGATGGACATGTTTCAAGCACTTGTCGTGATTAACTAAATTCAGTGCGAAGGTTTTTACCTTAGAATTGAGAAGTAAGAAAATTTTTTACTTCTCTCTTATTTGTTGTCGTAAACACCTCCAACAGGTCACCCCAACTGCCTAAATCAGATTCCGCAAAGTATGGATAACAGTTTTAAAGGTCGGTATTCCGGGACTTAAAAGGGCGGAGTTATAAAGAAATACATCCTAACCCACACATCACCTCGTGCTGGCAATATTCCAACTGTCACGGTTAAATTTAATTCGATTTGTTACTTTTTGCAAGTGAAATAGAACAAATTGAAGATTGTAGGAAAGTCCTTGAACTTGGCATGTCTTGCGTCACTGGTTGATTCTGCACAAATAGACTACACACTAATATAGTGGCTTAGTGTTAAATATAGACATTACACTATACCGCATTTGCAAGGTCACGAAATCATTTTAAGTTGTTTTACGGTGTCTCTGTCCTCAACACTTTTTCATTTCGCAGATTATGTTGAAGTAATCATGTCATCATACTTTTGGGAGTAAAATTCGCTTTGCTATGGCTAATTTTGATACGGTGAGCAAGCGAGTGGACCATATGCGCAGGCATCTGATGAGTGTCGGCTGTCAGCCAACACTCTAATCATTTGTTGTTTTTCGGATTGTTGTTGAGGCCGCAACATTTGGATATAGCTACATTTGAGAATGAATCGTGTGGATTGTAATTTTTTTCTCTTCCTCCTGCGCATGCGCCGTGCTCCCCTGTAGTATAACAATGCCTATATGAGGGCGACTGAGTCAAGCAATTACTGATCATGCGAGACTAATCCTGTTGCTGTTGTTCTTCTGATATTTAGGAAGCAACCTTTAAGTAAATATTTCATAGCAATTAAATCGTATAAACCGTAGAGACACCGATTTGATAGCAATTAAGTCGTATAAACCATACAGACGCCAATTATAAACACTCACTAAATATGTCTTGCACAAACGATTTAAAGTTTGCACACGGCAAAAACGAATCGTCCGAATTATTAACCTTGTGTG